GAAAGGTGGACAACTGCATGTCCAAACTAGGAGGTGGAATCACAGCAAAGCCCAATGTCCATCTCCTCGTGAGCAAATGGATAGACAGATTGATAAATGGACTGAGAGAAACAGAGATAAAGTGACAGACACGGTGATAAAGTGAACAAACACAGACAGAAAGACTGACAAACAGGATGAGTGAAGAATTGATTTGGTCTCATGGTTCATTGGACAGCCGTCAAAATGGATGGAGGGAGACGGATGGCAAAACAGGCAGACAGGCCAACATAGACACTGACACCTTGACACAGGAACAAGTTGAAGGCTATTCTGAAAGCACAGAAAGCAATCCATAGAAGCTTCTTTATATCAGTACTTAAGAGAGTGCATGACCGCAATGCCAGCAGAAAATCTTCTGTATTGCCAGTCTTGTTTTTTTTGACAGTCATGATCTCTTTTTTGAAAAAAAAAGATCACGACTCCAGGAAAACAATTAATCAATCATGAGGAGTGCAGTTTCAAGACAATTATAGCTGGAGATAACAGAGTGATTGACAGAGGCATAGAATCATTATTAGGCAGCAGTAATGGGTAGATTTTGTATCAATAACCCTGCGTATATGTTCACAATGAGCCAATCTGCAAAAAAAGGTTTAAACTGATGGTATGTGTGTTAATAGTGGAGGTGACAGTTGAATCAAGGATTTGCCTCATATTATAAAGACTGACTGCAACTTGACACAAGCAGCTCTGTGCATTGTAATAAATACTTTGCTAACTTATACATATAGTGGTGTTAGCCAGCTTATGTTAGAGCCTCCTTCATACTCTATGAACTATGCATGTCTGTACCAGATTTCATAGGAATCTCTTCAGCACTAGTTGCGATATTTCAGAAGCACAGTGGTGTACCAACAGGCTAAACACTTTTAATCAACAGTCACGTGGCCAGCATCGCTCGGATGCCGAGACGCATAGTTTGTAGAGCTTGCCGTCTTTCTGCATAGTCGATCGTTGCAGACCTCCAAACTTCACGTGTCCTTTAGATTAGCTCAAGAACAGGTTCGTAGACAGGTTCATTGAAGGTGTTGCCATAGCTGAGCAGCTGCATCCAAGCCTAACATCACCGAGCACGATGCAAAGCATCAGATGCAGTGGTGTAAAGGACGCCGCCACTGGACTCTAGGGCAGTGGAGATGTGGGCTCTGAAGTGAGGATTCACACTTTTCTGGGTTTGGTGTTTGCCAGGAAAACATTACTTGTGTGACCGCATTGTATCAAGTCCAGAGTTTGGTGGAGGGGGGATTATGGTGTGAGGTTGTTTTTCAGGAGCTTGGTTAAACCCCTTAGTGGAATGAACTCCTAATGCTTTGGCATATCAAGACAATTTTGATATTTCTTGCTCACAACTTTGTTTGGGGATGGCCCCTTATGACTGCGCACCAGTGTACAAAGCAAGGTCCATAAAGACAAGGAGGAGCAAATGTAGTGTGGAAGAACTGACTGGATTGCACAGAGTCCTGACATCAAAATGCCTTTGGGCATTCTCATGAAACATCAGTGTTTGACCTCACAAATGTGCTTCTGGGAAAGTGGTCAAAATTCCCATAAACACACTCCGAAACCTTGCGGAAAGCCTTCCCAGAGAGTTGAAGTAGTTAAAAAGGGTTGGTCAACATCCTATGGATGAAGAATGGGATGTGATGGCAATACAGTGTAAATACACATTACATACAAATTGTCTGCATATACTAAGGCACAGGAAGTTGTGGATGCTATACATTAGACAGGTTGTATCTGATTAATGAAGATAAAATAAAAATACTCTTGAATGTGCAAAAGTGAGCATAGTAGAATATATGGATTTGTGCGTCTGAGGGGAGAAAGAGTGAGACACAGAAAGAGCAAATGTGAGAAAGAGAGCAAGAAAGATATACAGAGAGAGTGAGAGAGAGGACCCAGTTCCATAAAGACGTGAGCAGAATGCAGTTGGTCTGAGCAAGAGAGGTGATATATAGTTTAGTCAGTAGCAGCGGGTCACGACAAAGCCTTTAACAGTAATGTCCTGGGAGTCGTCTCGCCCAGGGGACCCGCGCTCCATTTTACAGCCAAGCGACTGAGACTGAGAACGCTGCAGCATGACAGCTGGAGCAGTAAAGCCGGCCTCTAGTACCATCTATAACATGAAGGAGGCGTAGACGCACCCGATACCACCACAAAACACCAGGCTCGAGGCCACACCGACAGCTGGCGAGTTAGGAGGGATGAAGAATAAGGGGGCTTGGGAAATTGTAAGAAGTGGCAGGCAAGACAAAGGAGTGAGAAGAAGAAAAAAGAGTGAGGAGATAAATTTGCAGATTCAGACAAAGGCAAAAAACAAATGCGTAGGAGAAAATAATGATCTACATCAAAGGAGGGACCAAAATAACAAATAGAGGAAAAGGAAGAGAGTAAGGGGGGAAAAAGGTAGGAAAGGATCAGAGGTGTAGAATTTTAATGTAGAAAAACAAAACAGAACACTGTTTATATCTGTTTATGTGTTCCTTTTAGTCGTAAAATCATCCACTAAATGACACTGTGAATTGTTAAAATCATTAATATAAAGTAAATAAATAACCCCAGCTTTGTTTTGAACGTTTAAACAGTGCAAACAGGCATTGTGAGACAAACTGTATCATATTTTATACAAAACTGATTCTATTATAATAGAAATAATGACTAACAAAATAAATGAAAAGAAGAAAAAAAACTGCTTGTTTGACATAAAGCTAAAAGTTTCACCTAACTGCACCAAACTTTAGCAATAATGATCCTATGTAGGGCTGGGCCATATCATACCATTCACAGTAATACCGGTATAATGTTGGGCAACGATAAGAAAATGAAATATCGCGACAGAATATGGGTAAAACGCGCATGCGCAATGCCTTTGTTTTCATACACAGATGGCGGAAAAAGCATGGCGGAGAATGAGAAGGGCGAAAGTGGATCGTTGAATGAAACGGATGAACCAGAATTGGTTTGTAAAACTGCTGCAACTTCAGTGGTGTGGAACTGGTTTAGTTTTCGTCCGTCAGATACACAACAAAGCACTATTTTTGGTAGAGCATGCTAGCGGGCTGTCGTTATTACCGTGTTGTTTGGAAAATACGGCACACTTAAAATCAATCCTTTGATTTTTCTAATAATCGACAGTGCCTTATGTATGGATTCTGGTTGTGTTTACTGACCTCGAAACGATTTTATGTGGAACACGGCGCTCGAAAATCTGTCAAATGTTTTAGTACGGCTTTGCAAAGCTACGAAGCCGCAAACGCTTGATGGATTGTCGGAGCATTACGGCTACCATAGTCAGGAGCCTCGCGGAGTGATACGTACTGTGCTTCAACATAATATTACCGTATTGTGTGTGTATAACCTCTTTTTAAGTTTTGTGGATATCATACATGGTTATGCTGAGGATATGTCGGCCAATCTCCACTGAAAATGCCTTTTGGTTAAACTGTCAGCAAGGAATTTGCACTGTTAAATTTTTATGTAACTTCAATGCACATAAAAAACAGCTGCTTGTTGAAGTGAAAATAGATTGATGGTTTTTTTGGGGGGGGGGGGGGGGGGGCTGTTGCACTAATAAAGTTGTGGAGTTGTAAAGTATTTTGTGTAGTGTCAATTATATCGTCAGTTATATCATTATCGCAAATTTTCAAATGTATATCAGGTCATATCGCCCTGCTCTAATCCTGTGTTTTTATTTTAGAATATTATGCATAAGGTCTTGAGACCATCTGGCCGTCACACCAACAACAATTTTTACTCCATTACTCAGCAGTTGTGAGATGGACCAGCCTATTTTCAAACATAAATACCGTAAAGTTTCACAATGTGTGTTCACAATGTTTGTGACGCACAAATACAGATAGAGACTGTCTATGCTATAGCAAGTGTCAAGACAACAATATTGGCTTTGTGAGATTTCCAAATGGTAAAGCAGTGCGTCTGCCACATACTAACATCAGCCAGCTAGCATATCTGCAAGGGCAATGTTTACACAAGCAAAAAATCCTAGTGTTAGCATGTTAGCATTTGCTAATTGGCAGTGAACTTTAAAAGAGGTTGTTAGCAATGCCTTTACCGATACTGAACAAATGCAGATGTTGGGTAAATGGATCACAACGTCATCAGGACATTCTGACTGGGCCTGGGCCTCTGTAAATCAGCATTCAGTTAAAATTTAAAGAGGCCTAGTCAGAGAAAATGTCCTCAAACAAAGGTCTGAAATATCATGCATTTCCATGCGCATGATAATTTAGTGTAATATATTTGAAAGTAGTCTAACAGTTTAATGTCTGTTTCCAGGGTTTTAACTGGTTTTAAAGTAAAATAAATAAAGTAGGATTCAACAATACGTCAATGTGTGCTGCTATTAATAAAATATTAAAGTAATAATAAAATGTTCTTTCCCTATTTTGAGTAAAATAATGTTTACAAGCAAAAATAAATAACATAGTTTTTGAACAATTAGTTTCTAGACAAAACTCTTCTTGCTCCCTATCTGTTTTCCTGACTTACTTCATCTGACTTCTGCATCTCAGAGTTTTCTGTTTTCACACATGCACTGAATAAATGATTTCATTGGCTGAGTAGCATCATGTGGGATAAGTTAGAATGTACACGATTGGTCGGTGTAAATAACTTAACCCTTGCACAGATTAAAATAACCATACCGTAAATAATTATAAAAAATTGTCAAAATGTAGTAATATGTCTAGATCCGTAAATAAGAGCATCTGGGTCTGGACCGTGGTCTGCCTGTTGCTAACCTGAGCTATTGATGAACAAATCAGCAGTGAACATGTGACCTGCAGGGGGTGCTAAATGAAAGATCTGATGATTGCAGGTGTTATTAGGATTCACTATATAGGCAGCACAAAATTAATCCTACATAAATGAACACGATGTGAAATTCAATTTTATATCATTATTTGATTGTAGAATAAGTAGGAAGAAAAAAAACTCACTTTACTTCTAAGGCAAGAGCCAGAATCGCTGCAGCAATCGGAGCAGCACTGGATGTTCCTGGAAAGTGTGTGACACATCCATCACCAATGTTGGTCACAGTCACCTGGAGGAATCACAAAGGAACTAATTTTACATGATATATTATATTACATGTACCAGTATATATGCTTCAAAGGGGAGGTGCACGTGAGCTGTTTGCAGCTAATTAAGCCATTACTGGTTCCACACTATAGCAGCTACTGTGTCAACAGCGGTTCTTCTGTCATTAGAACACGTCAACACAATTTAACAGTAACAAAACAACTGCATTCTGGTCTAACCACCTTCTAATGTGAGGTGGTAAAGGGCAGACCTCCCTGCAGACGAGGGTGATATCACACTGATAAAATTGGCCTTTCTGTTTCTGTAGCTGGCGCTGGATTTGTTCCTGGCTTTTCAGTGTTACCTCCGCCATCAACACCTCTGCTTCTTCCTCTCTCTTTCTCAGCCACTACAGCCACGCTTTACCTCCAATTAACACTCGTTGGCTCCTGCGTGTCTGCATGTGTGTGCCCAGCAGTCACCTAGGTCATTTGGCAAGTCTCTATAAATACCACACCAGTGGCTGCTCTTTAACAGGCTTCTTACAGCTCACAGGAGCCAAAGATCAGGGCTGCTGGCACTGATGTGCACACATACACATACTGTATATACATTCATTAATGATAAATACTGTTGTTAGATGTGTTGGGAGGTACACACACACTAACCAAAGGTAATGAGCTTCCCACGCTGGTCCCTGTCAGAGTGACGGCCATCACTCCAGGGCAGGGCTCTCCAAAGAAGGTGGGCTTCCCAGTTTGAGTGACGGCGCTGATGGCAATGTTGTAGATGGAGTTAACATATCCATCTGCACCGCAGTGGTCATGCTGCATTCCACCATTACCTGCCGCCCACACATAGATGCTGCCCTTCCCACCTCGGCCCTGAGAAAACAAACAGTGGGATGTCAAAGAGAATGAAAAAAAGAAAGATCTCACATACTAACAAAAAACTGTATTTATATCTAAAACAAACGTTGTCAACAAATGTTTTATTGGAAAAGCTGTTATTGTTTTATGTGTACAACATATGTAAGTCTTTCATAAAATATCTTTTAAGCTGTTTGCTTTGTAGCTATTTTGATGGGTTTTGTCATTTGCATCCCAACAAACTTTCCTTTAAATTCTAGCACTGAAAGCTAAAGCACAATGCAAGCTTTACAATAACATACTGTTACTCCAGCTATGTGGTAGTAGTACTGTTTTTATTTTTCCTATCATAATGTAACATGGACAGTTTGTTCCTGTAATATGTATTATCATTTTATATGTATAAAAACCCATATACCCTGAATTCAGACTAGTCTTTCTTGCACTTTTTTATATACATGGTAAAGGGAATACTGCATTCACAACACACTCTGATGATGAAACTAGCCAGATGTGATAAATTGCTACAACAATCTACAAAAGTCATAGGAGTCCATTGCTGACTTATGCTAGCTTGGCTTTTTGTGAAAAGTTGTTCTCAAAAAATGCAAAAAAAATTTCAGTCTTGATGTTTTCCAACAAGAAAAGGCTAAAACCAAGATTCTTACAGTTCTCAAGAGAATGCAGCAGGAGGGAAAATGTCATGGTTTGATCCAGAATATGAAGCTGTATCCCGATCGCATACGTACATATTTCAAGATGTCAACTGGGACCGTTTGAGCTCTTGTTCCCAGAGTTGGGACAACATCTGAGGAGTCAGAGAAATCATTCCAGAGAGCCATGACCCAGACCAGTGTCTAGTCTAGCTGTGTGTCTAAGTTAAAACAATATTATTTTACCATTTTTATATTCTGTACTGGTGCAAAATTTGAGCTATGAGTGCACTTTTTCCGGCTGAAAAAATGAATGCCGCAGATTCATTCAGCAAACTCACGTAGTCAAAATATTCTCACAAAACTTTACGTGTCTGGTGTTTAAAGGCCTTAGCAGAACCCAGTGTAATGAAAATACCATCACATTATAATGAGATTATGTGCTGCTTACTGCCCAACTGTCCATGGTCCAACCCACATGGTCCCTTGAGTTGCTACATTTTATGTCTTCTTTTTGGTGTTGTCGCATCCTGTGCTAAATTTAGGTCTTTTTAATGCAACATTTTTAATGCCTCATGAGGCGACTAAAATTTTCCTCAAATACTATTTTTTCCTCAAAGGCATCAGCACATGAACCTTCACAAAGGACAGTGTAAGGAGCAGCTCTCACAGGGCATCACTAAGACCAAAACAACTCAAAGCTGAAGCAGTGAAGAATAAATTAAGAAATATATTTTCTGTGGTGTCCACTTGATCTTGAAAGCCAGTACACCACTGAAAATCAGGCTCATTAACTTGTGAAAAAAATGCTGAAACTGAGGGACAGCTAGTAATTTAGTTCTTTTTTTAGAAAGAGCTTGTGGAAAAGGGGAAACATTTGAAACAAAAGGCCTCATCCAGATTCAAACCAGGAAGTTACCATTATCATCCTTAACCCTTAGTTTGCTAAAAGAGCACACTTTTACTGCAATATTGTCTTCAGAGGATGATAATCCTTTTTAAGAACCCAAAACATTGAGGAACCAGGATTAAAGTTACTCACATATGCTTGAAAATCAGTAAGCAAACCGTGTTTTGAACATTTTATCATAGAACTGTGTTTCCAGAGTCAAGAGTGAAGTTGTGCTTAAATTCTTTTCTTCGATCTTGGTTTATGGCACCAAAAAAACTGTAGTGCAGCAGCTGTATAAACATTTCTTGTGCTGTTTACTGAAGCTTAAAACTAAGACTTGTGCATATAAATCCTTTACTGGCTTAGAAATTAGACTTACCGCTGAAGAGAATAACATTTCAGCTAAATTATGAATTGGTGATACTGGACATTGACGTTGTTGCCTTGGTGACAGGCACTTTCAAAGGAAATATAATTAAAAGCAGTTTTCTACTTTTCCAGAGCGGTAAAGAAGTAGCGAAACAGAGAAAACCAGAGCACATGGAAGATGTGAACAGGAAACACAGAATCTAATAACAGCAGTGCAATCTACAAGTACCCAAGAAGAAGTTTGACTGAGACAAGAGAAGATGTAGCCTCTAGCGCTATAAAAAGACGTGAAGCCAGTGGGCAAGTATCTTAACCCTGCATTATTATTCATTGCCACCAGGGGGGCAAAACCTGTGGTTTGGTCTCATGGAAATCTATGGAAAACCAACTCTCTGTCCTGATCTCTATAAACACTTTCCTGATTAGTTTATGGGTTATGGGCTCCTAAATTTGGGTTATCTACATATTAGAAAGGAGAATTGTCCAGGGTATGACATGTCAGTCACAAGTCATTAGCCAATGAGAGTGCAGCTTCACAGTCACCGTGCTTGTCACATCTGGTTTCAAAATACCAAGATGGTGACTGTGAAAATGCTCATGTGAAGGATTCAAAACTGGATGTTACAAACCAGCGAGCAACGCCATGATCGCTATATCCGTCTTTCTTTAAGTTTAAATGATGTCCCTGTGAATGCCAGGACCCAACATATCCCAGAAGAACACGGTCTCTAGAAGACTAGTGTTATTCTAGTCATCTGTCATTAGTTTCAGTGTCGTGGCTGATCAGTGTATTTTTTGTGTGGGAGGTCATGCTCTTACTGTCTATATGAACAAACAAAAATAGTCACATGTATTGGAAGTGAATACCAAATAAATGAAAGGCCTGGATTACAACACACACACACACACACACACACACACACACACACACACACACACACACACACACACAATATTCATCTAAAAAACAAAACAAATAGTCTGTTTTGGAGCAGTCTGACTATGTGGCAAAAGTAGCAGATTGACTTTGTTACAGTACGTGTCATGAACGTACTCTCCGTAAGATATAAATAAATAAGGAAATGAGGATTTAAATCTGGCTAGGAAATCTGAACACTCGACATTTTGTCCTTCCAATCCCAGCTCCACTGACAGTGTGACTGTCGGCTTTACATCTGACAGACAGCAGTGTGAACTTAGAGATGAAAGCTGTGCCTTGTGAGCTCCTAGCCGGAGGGCTTGCTCTGTCAGGCTCTGCGGCCCGTCCATCTCGGCCCCGTCGTCCCTCGGGCCCCAACTGCAGACGTAGATGTCGATGAAGTGGATGTTGAAGGTCAGAGCTGTGGCCTCCATGGCATCCGTCACAGAGCCATCCAACAGGCGGATACCTGGTCACATCGAAAAGGTCACAGAGATCAGAGTTTGGAGGAAGGCTTGTGCAAAATGAAAAAAAAAAAGGAAATAGAAAACAACACAAACTATAGCTACATCTCATCCCCTCACTGTCGATATATTCACATTCCTCTGCATTTACTGATTGATACTTTCTGACCACCATTATAAACTGAATAAAATGATTAACGTATGTCTCAAAAGAAGTTACTTCATCAGTTTAACTGTGAAATAAGAGTTTGTGAAGCTCAGTACTTGCAGTGCAACTGTGTCTGCAGCAGCCATGAACTATTATAATGTAATGTCAGTGGACAGAGAAGCTACAGTGAGAGTGAGATTTTTCTTCCATTTGCCCCGAGGGACCCTGGGGGGTGTCACCCCAAGTTAGCATGCTATCAAAGCTGAGAAAAGCAGCCAAAAACATCCCAGTATATACAACCTACAGGGTGAAACTATGGATTACTTCACTTTACCCAACATTCGGTAAATCTGCTACTGGAAAGTGTGGAGTGTCAGCACTGCACAAGTTATCAACTGTTTTAAGATTTCTGATCGCAAAACTGGAGTACATTTATGTGGGGGTGGGTCTCATTTAGGACTGCAATCACTGATATATTTTTTAACTAACATTTAAATAGTGTATCATAACATTTTAAGCTGATGTGGTCCCTCCCACATCCAACAGATAAAGACTCACATTAATATTATATACATCTTGAATCTAAATCCAGTATTCACCATCTTTTTAGTTCCTGCATGTCTCACTTTTAGCAAGTAAATGCTCACCAGCTAATCTCTATTTGTGTGAAAAAAAACATACTTAATCTTTTTTTTTTTTTACTGAGAATGGCAGCTTTCAAAAATAAGTATACATTTTATTCAACAATTTGATAATGGGTTAAGAAGATTAATGGATGGATGGATGGGGATTTGAAAATAAATGTCATGTTTGAAATAATACTTCAAATAATCTCTCTACTATCGTGTTGGTTGTCACAGCTACTGTCTACCTGTGATGCAATTAAATTTGGAGAACTCAAATCCCTAATACGGCCAGTTGAAGTGACAGGGTCAGACATTGTGAAAGAATCCGATAGAGAAAATTTTTAATTGCATTAAATGTGTGATTTTTTTTTCTTTTTGATTTGCAGTAGAAACTATACAGTAATTAATCCAAACCACAAGTCAGATGTGCATTTAGGTTTCTGCTGCTTGTTGCATAAATTCTAAACAGTGGATGTGTCCTTTGTAATTGTAGCTTGACAACATCACTCCAATTAGAGACTGTGGATAGAACAAAAGACTGCTGTCATTAGATGGCAGCGACTAGAGACAGTGGAGTAAAGGAAGGTTTACAGGAAAAAAAGTCTCTTTCTTATTTATTAGACCTGGCTAGCATTAAAGAGTTGTTTTTTTACATTAAGAAATGGAGTTTCTGTGCTGAGATGTTAATATGCTCAAGAGCTGGGATATCTGACGAAGCAACTTTTCAGAATTAGGTCGTTGGAGAGGCATAGCCAAGAACCACATGTATTCAGCTTAGCATCTATTATTGCATGTACAGTCAGTTTAGATGAAAAATACATGTTTTCAGATGGAATAATGCACATTTTCTAAGGTTTTGAAAAGTTTGTGTGGTGACTGTGATGAAAAACAAGAACACAAATCGTCAATACAAACACTACAAACAGAGGCAAAGAACTTCACTTAGCCAGCTGTGTGACAGCTCAAGTCAAAACATGCATCTTTCATGCAGGTCTTGCCCCTTCGTCTCCTGTGTGCCATACAGACTGTTTATGAGTCAGAATCAAATGGAACCAACAAAGCAAAATCGAATCTAACTGTGGGAAGAAATTCGTGCTCTCGCTCCGTCAAACTGTTTTTCTTTCGCTCTCTTTTTTGCATGAGACGCTCATCTGCCTGTGACAAACGAGGACGGGTCAGAGATTAAAGATCACAGAGCAGAGTTCAAATGCCAGAGTTCAACTGAGGGATTCCTCTTCTCATTTTCTCTATTTCGTGCTGATGCCATCGCTGCATTAAACTCAGTTTGAGTCATTTAGGATCTGAGAGCTGCAGGAAGTGTTCTTATTCAAACACATTATGTACTCCTCATTAACTTGTGGGTTACAGCACTCTTGGTAAACCCTGTAAAAATCTTTGATTTCACAACGGGAAAATGGGCAATCTTATGTATTCAGTTCATTCATCCTTTTCCGATGTTACTACCAACACTAAAAAAGCCATTACACTAAAAAATGAGCTGTTAAATAGGGGCAGCATGCCTGAATAGCACCCAGTCAATATGTAGTGACCTGTATTCGCATAAACCTAAAGCCATGTTCACTGTAAATATATACACAGGCGTTGAAAATTTATACCGACAAGGAAAACTTCACTGTGAAAATTTGGCACGATTTCCTGAGATTTTCTGCCACATTTTACAGTGTTTCTGCTCGACATTTTAATTTTCACCTAAACCAAACATAAAATCAACCGTTTTACTCAGCATCATTTCCATTTGCATCTGGAAATGATGCCGAGCATTTTTCTTTTCTCTCAAAAGTAATTCAGCATGTGGATGTGATATTTTGGTTTTTGGAATATTTGTTACTTTCGAGTTTCTGCCAGTAAAGGTGAGTTTGAATTATTTATCATTTCATAATAAAGTAAGTGAGACCTTGTAAAGTTAGAGCAGGTGTATTATGCATGCAGGGTTTTTCCTCCAAAGAGGTTTTAACCACAGGCAAAGAAAAATCACAGCATTGTGCTAAAATTATTTCCTTTCCTCTTTTTTTGTAAAAACTAGTGGTTTATAATTGGTCAGAAATGAATAGATTTCTGTTAGATAAGGTGCTGGCCCTACTGTCAATCCCCAAAGGTATACTGAGCACCACTAAAAAACCCTTTCTTCTATCTTTACCAATAGAGCTGCACAGCTGTCCTAAAGTCACAAAGCATGCATTTTTCATCAAGTAAACGAATAATATTATTAATAATAATAATAATATAGCACCAATGTAGTATAACAAGTGTTTTAAAAACTGCTTCTTATGCCATGTCCTCGTTTTGGCCAGTGCAGCACACCCACAATGCACTGCCTCCTACGGTCTTTTTAAGGCTGTATTGTTTTCCTCACCTCCAATCCTGGCATTGAAGGCGATGCCCACACCACAGTAGGAGTTGTTGGCCTCCATGGCAACTTCCCCTGCACAATGGGTACCGTGACTGAGACAGAGGGGGAATAAGATGTTAGCCACATACAGAGACTAAATAAGCTGAGATGAGCGTTTTCTTTTTTGGGGAGGGGTTTTAGCCTGAGCACACGCAGTAATTATGGCATCTCCTCAATATGATTGGCTCACATTGTCAGAAAAGAACACTAAGATACTGGATGTCTCACCTCCAGTAATCAAAGCATGAAAAAAACAGGTAATATGTTGTAGGTTGACACCAGACACGTGCAACGATTTAGTTTTGAAATCTTTAATTAGCAAAAAGAGAAATTGACCTTGATATCATGTCTTGAGCTACAGTTAGTCAGTTAAGCTTTTTCATGAAATGACAGCAGCAGACTTCCAGTGTAACATGATAGATCTCTGATTTCAGACAGGCAAACTCAAGATTCTCACATTCTAACCAACGTCCACTGATTCTTTCTCTGTGAGAGGACAGCTGTCGCTTGTTGCAGCCAGTTAAGCTAGTTTTAGGTCCAAGAATTAGCTCGGTTGCTTAGCTTGAATGTTTGCGTCTCACGTTAGGGCCACTATACACAACGTTTGATCAGTTTCCTGGTTTTGGAAGGGAGAAATATAGGGATCGGATATCTAGAGGTAAGAGTAAAAGGACAGGAGTCATTACCTATTCTCCTCATTTCTGACAGGCATGGGATCGTGAGATGCACGCAGGTCAAAACTGGCACGGGCCTCCTGGAAAAGCGAGACAGAAAACAAATGCGGAGTAGTGTACGACAGCATAACCCTCAACACAAAACATCAGGATGACATGACAGGAAATGAAGCAATCCCATAAAAAACTCTCGATAGTGGCACTTGAATTAGACTGTCAACATTTTTCTTCTGACTGACGGCAATCACTGTCACTGAGGAGATGCTGCTGCGTGTCGGTGTGGTTTATGTGTGTGTGTCATAAAAGTGAACATGTTTGAATGACTTGTTTGCCAGTGTATATAGGCATAACGGGAGGAGGATGTCTTGGCAGCAGACTGTACAAGAGAGCAATTATGTATCTCCCTCTCTCTCTCTGCAGCCAGGCTTATCCATGCCAGACAATCTGCTGTGACAAAGTACAAGTTGGCCTGCACGCTTCAAACTGCCTATAGGATTATAAATGACAAGGCAGGAGCAAACAACGCTGCCACTTCACATATGCTTTATGGCCAGCCAGTGTAACACCAGCCTCGCAGCTTTATAACTATATGAAACTTTTATTGTCTCATCTTTTAACGAACAGAGAAGCAACTCTAGCTGAGAGAAAAGCCTCTAAGATAATGCTCAAATTCATTTAAGGCACATTGATTTTGAGTTTACTCACAAAGTTTTTCTTTAGGTCCTTGTTTGTGTGATCTAAACCTGGAAAAGAAAACAGAAAGAATATGATGGATTTAGTTTTGCAAGTAATTTTTCTGGTTAAAAGTGTATTTCTTATATTAGATCAGCACAGACCTCAATTTCTCAGTCAGTCAATATCATGGTACTTACAGTCATGTCAAAAAGAACGTGCGCTCTCTGTCAATACTAAGGATTTACATATGTAAACACGATGTTCATCTGTGGTGATGCACATCTTCTCATTTATTTATTTAACAAAAGGCTTTGCAGGCATTTGTTTTTCTACAAAGCTCTCTTAAGGTCCTGCCACAACATTTCAATCAGGTTGAGCTCTGGACTTTGACTGGGCCATTGCAACACCTTGTTACTCCCCCCCCAAAACCATTCTGTTGTAGATGTGCTGCTGTGAGTGGGATCATTGTTTTCAGTTCTGCTCCTTGGCATCGTGTGAACACACACCTGAATGTTTCAGACCAGCAAACTGCCAAAACATCTGCTTTTACAGAAATGATCACATAGTTAATCACTGCATTTGATTAGGCAGCACCTGGATGTAACTAAATAATTGTCAACTCACACACTGGTTGTCCATTATTGTTAAATTATCACATGTAACATGTCAACGTTGTTCATCTGAGGTTCTATTGAAAAAAATTATAGAACCTACCAAGAACCAGATTATTTTTTGCCGTGTCTTAAATAAAAGAGGTTGCGCTTTCTTATTACAATGACTGTATCCTGTAATTCTTAACACTTCTTATTTTCTGTACTTCAGTGAAGGTCTGAGAAGGCAAAGGTGATGTTTCTCCTTGTCTATACAAGCTGTATGTTCAGAACACAAACTCATGTGATGACTCATTTCTAAGAAGCAGACTGACATCAACTGAGTCATCTCCAAAGTTAACATAGTTCCTGTCTCTGAGCTCACTTATACAGAGTGGTGGGCACAGACTATATGCCGGAGCTGCATAGACAGAACACATTTTACTCTGACCCTCTAAGGTTAACAAGTGAAAGTCCACTTAATGGTGTTTATATGAAAATAAAATGTAGAGGAAAATTCAATGAATACAAGGTAGAGAGCAAATGTGCGTCAGGAACTGAGACAATTAATGATCAACCCCAATATGCTTAAAGAGATCGCTTCCTCATTTTTAATGCCTGGTGCATTGGATAAGTGCACTTTTTATTTTATTACATTCTGTAAAGCAGTGCTGTTTCAAGTCATTGCTACTTGCTGTGTGGTAGACAGGTTATTAAAATTTTGAATTTTGAGTGCTCCACTAATTGGTGCAATTAATTTGCCAGAGTGTAGTGGTGAAGTCCATTTTTTAAAATCAACTTTTGTCAAGACCCGTGTTTTGTACGACGAAGCTTCGCACATGATTGATGAATGAGTGAACGAGTGACTGGGGGCAGAACAATCCAATCCACCAAATCCGTTTGTACTGCCGTCCTTTTGATTTCTTATTCTTTTCTCTTACACTACACCTTTCTTTGCATCTTTTCATCATAGTCTCTCAACATCAGTTGCTTTTTGCTGGCTTGCCCCCTCCCATCGCCCCTCCTCTTCTCCCACCCCATCCACCGCCACCACCTCCATCTCTGCAGCATCAGGGCTCCTGTGGTCTCAGCGAGAGACAAACGAATGAGGGCCCCAGGAGGGCCGCGCCTGCTCTGCCACACATCACTCACTCTGTCTCTCAATCACACACACACACACACACACACACACACACACACACACACACACACTCACACACGCGCGCGCACACACACACACACACACACACACACACACACACACACACAGGACCTGCCAGCCTTTGTCCCATGCAGGCAGTGCCTCCGGGTTGTCATGGTAACCTGCAGTCGGTCTCGCTGTGGAGGCCTGATTGTGTTGAGCTCAGGCGGGATGGAGCCTTGGGAGGGTGAAGCCTCATTGGAGCCTGCCATACTGTGCCATGCTGAGCTATGCCGTGCCAGGTCAACCTGCTACATCCCATATATAAGCACTGATTCTTTATTCTCCCCTGTGCGCTACTTTTCAATTGCCACAAATGAGTTTCACCTCAAACCAAGACCTTGCTAAAAGCCAGGAGACAGAGACAATAGGAATCAAATACTGGGCTAGAGCCATTTATTTGACTAGAACTGCCAATCCAGAAATACTGCATTTCACTTTCAGACTGATGACATGCAAAAGCAAAACTTGGAGCCAGTTTCATTTCAGGTTTGACCCAGAAAAACCTTAATTGTGTGTTTATTTGTTTGTTGGCTAAAAAATACACTCCAGGTACAGTGCGCTAAGTCTTCTGAACCAAAGTGAAGAAAAAAAGGAAAACTAAGAAATGTCATTTATTAAAATTCTTTCCTGAGTTAAGATTGTTTTGTCAAACTATTTCTAACCACAGTTAGTGAATTGTTGAACAAGGTGACACGGAACAAACGCAAAACAGAAAAATATAAATAAATAAAACATATGTGATTTTTTTTTTCAACCTCATGAGAACAAGAGAAAGATCTCCCTGGCAGACTTTCCTCTTGCCTGAGCCAATTTGGCTTTCCACACTGAAAACGAGGCCAAAAGATGATGCTGAGGAGGTTATTGCTGATTTAAAGTTTAAGGTGTGTTCAGTAATACTATGGTCCAATAAAATATCATCACATAGAATTAAAGAGCTATGAGTTTGTTTTTCTCAGTAACCCCACATCGTGCTATTTTTTTTTGTCTCAATTCCCTAAATTTCATCACCAGCGAAATCAGGAGAATCTAACTTAGCTTCTGCTCAAACTGATCAATTTTAGCTCAGAATCTCCGAGCTTTGATGCTTTAAGATGCTACTGATCATTTAAAAAGCACCAAAATATGCTGAAAGAACTCAGAAAGCACTGATCTATATAACCATGACTATGGTCAGAGAAGAGAACACCACGTGTTGATCTGCTCAACTCAGAATAGGAAGCTGTAGTTCACACGGACTCAACAAAATAGAAGACTGGAAAAATGTTGCCTGGTCTCAGTCGTCACTTCTGCTTTGACATTCAGATGGTAGAGTCAGAATTTGGCATAAAGAAAGCAGAAACATCAATCCATCCTGCCATGCATTAATAGTTCAGACTGCTGGTGGTGTAATGGCACACTTTGGGCCCCTATAGTACTGGCTGAGCATCATTTAAACACCACAGCCGAACTGAGAATTGTGGCTGACGCTGACCATGTCTATCTCTTTATGACCACAGTGCACCCTTCTTCTGATCGCTGCTTCCAGCAGGATAATGTCACAAAGTCAGATCATCTCCAACTGCTTTCTCGAACATGACAATGAGTTCTCTGTACTTAAATGGCTTCTATGTTAAACGTTTCCAGAGGAATTAATGTAGGGAGTTCAGCCTAGTACTAGCAAGATGTGACTTAGAAAGTGACCACTGACTGTATACCATGATCTTAACATGAAGGGGAAGGAGGAAAATTTGTCTGTCAACATGGAATCAAGAGTGTGAAAATATTAGAATGGACAGTTTGGAAATGCAGCTCAAAAAGCAGTGCAAAGCTGCTGTTACCACAAGTGAAGAGAATGACTTTTCTGCAGGAGGCAACAGAGCTTGTTTTATTAAGAGTTCATATTTGTTTCATCTCAATTATAAGAGAGACTCCTTGGTGTGCATTCATGCATGTTCTGACTGCGTGTCAGGAACTTGCAAAAAGACAATCGCATCGAGTCACGTCAGCATTTAAAGGCTGACACCATCACTTCAGCAAGTTTGTGATGGAGATATCTTTGGGAATTAACGTCAAGCTGTTCAGGGGGGAACAAAGTAACAAGTGAGGAAAGGACGAAGGGAGGAGGGGGTGAGGGGGAAAATGACTGGAACTATACAATCTCCACTTAAATACTCCTTAGAGTATGTGTGACTATCATAATTACAGGATGTTTTGGCATATAACAGGCATGTATATAAGATGATAGTTTGAAGAGGCTTACAAATAAAATAGTATTAAAAATATAGACTGGAGGGCACCAGTTTAGCTCACAAGTTGAGAAGGTCGGGTGGTGTTAGCTTCTTGCTAGCATCAAGTTGGAATAATTGACAAAGTATTTAACAAGTTTTATAAATTGTAATAATAACTTATGGCTAATATCAGTGCAATAAGATGCAGAATCGCCTGTTCCTGCCTAACTTCTCAGCTAAGGCTTTTGTGCTCGTGCACACATCAGCACAGCAGTCACATCAGTTATTTGTCATGCTAACTAGGTAGCCAGAGAGAGTTTGTAAGTAAATGTGACCTTCAATTAAACACATTTGTTGCTACAGTAGCATGAAATAACTGGCTAACTACTGTTATCTTGGAAACCTGTATCTGGGCTAAATCGACTTTACTATTTCACCAACTGCACTGTAAAAACAAAATTGTAATATAAAAGTATTTTACTGTGTATTCTTCTAGAATATTATTAAATTTACGTCAATAGACTGTGATTTTACATTTCAAATGTAAATTAACGTAAAATCACTGTAAATGTAATAAAACATAATTTTCTTGTTTTTTAAATGTATTTGTCTGTACATTTGCACATTTAGATTGTTAAAATACATTCACAAATGTATCAGAATTTCACAAATATTTGTCCGTTATTTGAAAGATTGAACTGTTAAATTCAAATGTAATGCTATGGAAAAATATATAAAATGATTCTTATAAACTTTTGGCAGTTGGCAGTTGGCCTTGTGATCAGAAGGTTGCCGGTTCAAGCCCCGGCTCGGACACTCTCGGTCATTGTGCCCTTGGACAAGACACTTCACCTACCACCTACTGGTGATGGCCAGAGGGGAATTATAAAGTGGAATTGTAAAACGCTTTGAGGGTCTCAAAAAGCGCTATATGAATGCAATCCATTATTATTTAAACCAACTGTTAACTGTATATTTCTGTACATTTAAGTATTTTTATTCATATTGCCACATTCATTGACCTTGTTTATAGGTAATTTCATTGTTTAATCACATTAAAATGTTCC